AGACAGCCAACCACCACGTACACTCCGCACTTGCATGAGAGGAAATCACTTTCCATGTCAGCAGGGGGCGGTAGTCTGTAAAATAAATAAACCGTTGTTGTGATACGAGAAGACAATTTTCTGGCGTCGCTCAACACTTGTAATATAGGAACTTCTAATGGAGAATAATGTCTGATAAAAAGTTGACAATTGCGCTGGCAGCACTTGGTCTTTTATTTGTGGAACAAGAATAGAAGAGGCGCTTCCGTATTTCTTCTCATGCACTGTTTCGCTGAACAGCCAATCAGAGAGACTCCTACCCCCAATCGCGGCAGCTCACGTTGATTCAACATGTGGAATTGGCGAAAGAAAGGCCAACTTGGGCCGAATGGTAGCGACAGAGCTGGACACACCGCAAAGACTAGGGTGACGACCGCTCACCGACGGATCATCAGAGGGCTGAGCAGGATCCCCTCGTGATGTCATGAAGGGAACATCTCCAAACGGCCAGAAAAAGACGGAGAGGATGGACTTTTCTCATCATTAGGGGGGTTTGTAGACGGACTAGAAACACGTATTAGAGTTAGAGAAACAAGGTGAAGAGGATTTTACAGAATCTGTGAAAAATCTGAGTGCGCATGTGGTCGTCGGCTGGAGTCTGAGTGAGCGTGTGGTCGTCTGTGTCTGGAGTCTGAGTGAGACAATAACGGAGTGATAAGTGAGCACAATGTTCTGTGATTATCTGCTACAGGGTGATTACTGCAGCACAGATAGACGCTCCTGAAAGAGAGTAATTACGACGCAGTCTGAGCTGGGAGGAAATATTATCAACTGCTGTTCTCTCCACACTCACAGGAAGGCCTCACAACTCCTCCTGATTGGCCGGCAGGTGTCGAGCAGCTCACCCATGGATTCAGTGAGTATGGTTGTCCCCCTCCTGTTTGTGAGTCACGCTGTCGACAGATTCCCATCAGAGATGAACTTCAGATATTCCCTCATCTGAGAACATTTGATGAACAGACGTCTGAAGTGATCGTTGAAGATCCTGCACATCTACAGACACATGAGAACGCACAGAGAATTTCATTTCTTCAACTTGTTGATCCGTCAGGATTTCTGCCTCAGTGTTCCTAACCACACGAAGCTCGCGGCTGTCCGACCCCGTGTCCCACTCTGAAACCATCATGCGGTACGGTTCAGAACGGTCTGGAACAGTAAACCCTGATCGTGCTTGTGTCTCAGCAGCCGGCCGTACCTTTACTTGGTGGGTGGAGGTGTAAGCCTGATGGAGAATGTGAAACACTAAACCAAGGACAAAGATGGAGGACGTCCAGCTTTTTGTGTTCATCCTTCCTGGTATTCGTCCGTTTTTGATCACAAGAAGAAGACGAGCTTTGTTTGAGTGAAGGCTGCAGGCCGCACGGAAAGACAGCTTCGAGCGACGCTCTGAAAATCCACAGGATATTTAAACATGGTGTGTTTTGTGTTTGTCCTTTATTAATGAATGAATAGTTTCCTGCAGTCAAGCTGAACTGTATCGACGTCTTGACAATTGCATTCCAGTGTCTCTTCTCCACGCTGCAGTTTAGGAGGGTCCTCTCCTCTCCGCACGTCTTTGTCTTCTGATGACTCCCAGAGGAGTTTAGAGGAGTTATTTCAGGTGTTGGATGTTAGAAAGTCGAAGCTCAAATGTATCACAGCTGTATGAGTCTGAACGTGTAAGCAGAAGAAACAAAGAACAGAAATCTAAAGAAAAAAGACAAGAATGAAAAGATTCAAACCTTGTGATGCCCCTCCTCTACAAGAAATCTACACAAACAAACTTCTTAAACGATCAAATCACATTTGTGTTGAAATGTGAGGAGTGAAAGTAAAAACTAAATCATGTGTGCGTGTTTAAACTGAAGTTGAAATGAGTATTTACTTAACAGATGATTTAGTGCGTTCACTTTTAGACAGAAGAATAATTAAAGTCATTAAAGTCATTATGCAGCATTAAAGAGCTTCAACACAGAGACTGGAGTCCAACAAAGGCAGGAACACATCAAACACATGCACTGTTTTGAAGTCACACTCACACAATGGCGTCCTCGTGAAGGCCGACTGGAGTGAGAGCTCTTGACGCCATGATTACCGTTTGACAAAAACATGTTTAATTAGAGGAGTTAAGTGAAGAGGCGAGCGCCGCGCTGAAGCATTCAAACACAGATGAAGCCTTTTTGGCCCATCAGCCCTCGCCATAATGGATTCTGCATCGATAAACACTCGGCGAGATTTCGCAGCGAGTGCAGCGTCCTGCAGGAAAAAACAAACAGCGCTCTTTAAAGTCGCATTTCCTCTTCAGGCTCTGTCCAACAGGGCTGCTATTTATTTCCATGTGCCTGTTATTTGTGTTTCTAGATTTGATATCTTCAGCTCCTCTAACTTTGTTTCAGAGAAAACGTCTTCCAGCTCAGGTAGCCGGGCCTCACACCTGCTGAATTATTCATGTTCTCAGTTCGATATACTATTGGATCGGGGAGAAGGGGACTGAAAAGTGGAATTACAAAACATCACAATCTTTCATCTGCGCAAGTTTTTTCTCAAAGAGCAGAGGTCAATTATGAGTCCTCTGGCGATGGCTGCCATGAATAAAACACCGGCGGGCTGCACAACCTTGGGAGACTTCCTCCACTTGTGTAGATTATTGACTCTTTGAGTTTTTTCCTCTTCATATCCCCAGGTTAAAAAAAAGAAAAGGACCCTTTGTCTGTGGTCTCCTGCACTCTTCACGCCTCCATCGCCTCCAGGCAAAAGAGGCCTAATTTGCAGCGTTTGTCTGTTTTGGGGCCAATTATTCTAAAAGCAAATGTTCTGCAAACACAATAAACAGAAAACAATGAAGAGAAGGCCGACTGGTGTCATGCATTTTAATCCTCCTCTCATTAAACATGCATTTATGTGCTCAGCAGTTTGTAGAGTTTTAACTTTCAGTCTTTAAACTCAGTTTACCTGCAGAACACAGACCTGTCATCGAGTACCTGCAGAACACAGACCTGTCATCAAGTACCTGCAGAACACAGACCTGTCATCGAGTACCTGCAGAACACAGACCTGTCATCAAGTACCTGCAGAACACAGACCTGTCATTGAGAACCTGCAGAACACAGACCTGTCATCGAGTACCTGCAGAACACAGACCTGTCATACCTGCAGAACACAAACCTGTCATCGAGTGCCTGCAGAACACAGACCTGTCATTGAGAACCTGCAGAACACAAACCTGTCATCGAGTGCCTGCAGAACACAGACCTGTCATCGAGTACCTGCAGAACACAGACCTGTCATTGAGTACCTGCAGAACACAGACCTGTCATCGAGTACCTGCAGAACACAGACCTGTCATCGAGTGCCTGCAGAACACAGACCTGTCATCGAGTACCTGCAGAACACAGACCTGTCATCGAGTACCTGCAGAACACAGACCTGTCATTGAGAACCTGCAGAACACAGACCTGTCAAGGAGTACCTGCAGAACACAGACCTGTCATTGAGAACCTGCAGAACACAAATCTGTCATCGAGTGCCTGCAGAACACAGACCTGTCATCGAGTACCTGCAGAACACAGACCTGTCATTGAGAACCTGCAGAACACAGACCTGTCATGGAGAACCTGCAGAACACAGACCTGTCATGGAGTATCTGCAGAACACTAGATGTCAGTGTTCTCGCTGCTGGCTGCAGGCGGCTGCAGCACGATGAGCTCCAGGAAAATTATGCATCCTATGTTTTTTTAAATGGTTCCTGGAGGACTGGATGCTGCAGCCTCCCTTGTCACGGCCTGATTACTGAGGGCTTCACTTTCATCTCATAACGAGCTGCAAAGTGCTGAGCTGAGATTTCTGTTGCAGACGCTGTCAGATCTGCAGCGAGCACAGGAAACACTTGTTGACACTTCAGATGCATCCTTAAATCAAACATCATACAACTCCAGCATGCAGGGAAATGTTTGGACTGTTCAATGGGTGGTTACAGAAAGAGCAGAAACGTCAGTAAAGCGGAGCTCCGAAGACCTGACAAGAGATGGGTTGTGCTCGGTCTGTATATCCAGGACTAACTGCAGGGACACTGCCTTTAAAGAAGGTCCTGCATTTATAAATAGTCTTGAGACATCTTAAAGAAACCTTTCTTTTTTACTTGCATGATATTTGTTCCTGATTATCCTGATTAACACATTTATTATAATTAATCAAAAATCTGTGGCACACTGAAAATAACTCAATAAAATACAGTTTAAGTTGCCACAGATATTACATTTATTTTTCATGGTATGTTCCTGCAACCGTGCGCACCTGAGAACCAATAGGCTGTGCAGGGGGTAGGTACCCTGCTGGCCATTTACATTTATTATAATATTATATATTGTATCATATTTTATATTATTTGATATAAGGAAGTCACATACACACTTTTTTTTTTTTATAAAAACGTTTTGTTACATAGATTAGAGTATTTCTGGTGTCAGATGACTGATGTGTGTCTAACTAATATCTCCAGTAACTATAGAAATGTACAAATATACAAATATACAGGGTAATTATATAAATATCTAACGTAAACAATAACATGGACATAAATGAATTGTATAAAACACAATCAAAGCAGCCACAGGACGACATATTAAAACAGTTACATAAATGTATTCATATTTTTAAAAAATTGTTTGAATAAAAACTTTTAATCTGGAGCACAAACTCAGTTTTAATGTGAAACTCTGGGACAGGAAGTGGGATTTTAATTTGGTAGTTTCACATAGATTCATTTTAAACCTTAAATAAATATAATGAGGTTTATTATATTAAAATGCTCCACATGTTTCAGTAACAGTCATCGAGTCCTCCTAGAAGGAGCTGCTTCATTATCAGTCCACTAGCTGTGTGAACAGTCTATGGTGTGAACAGCTAGTGGGATGTAGTGAGGAGCAGCCAATCAGCGTTATTGTCACGTTTCGGAGCAGCCAATCAGCAAGCGCCTCAACAACGCAGCCCGGAAGAAGGAAGCAGTGAGTAAAAAGAGCGCCTTGATCAAAAGTGGAGACGTTAGCAGAAGGTAAGAAGCGACTTTAAGACTTTTATAAACGACTTATCAGCGAGTTAAAGACAGGTTTAACAACAGATGAAGACAGCTTACATCAACACGAAGCCGTTTAACTTTAAATTATGACTTTAGTTTATCGTCGATACTTTAGAGAGTTTCTGAACTGGCGGGTTTAAGTGGTGTTACGCCCAGAAAAGCATCCCTGCTGAGAAAAGTCTGCTTTTAGAAAACGGTCTAATAACTCTCATTTCTGGGGGGGAAATCTGTGATGACAAAGTAACTGAAGTTTATATTTAATAAATGTTAAGTTAATACATATAAATAGTTAGACTAAATTTAAGGGTGGATGTTAAATACTGCCATATTTTGGTCCTGCATTTCTCGGCATAACACCGGAAGTTTAATTTCACAAACAGGTTCCTTTGACTAAGTTTTACTTCATTAAAAACCTGTAAGTTTCCCTTCTGTCACTTTGTTCACTGTAAAACTTTTTAAGTTATTGTGGTAAAGTTAACTTGACTGTGAGAAGAAATATTTCACTGAAACATTTTTCACCGTCTCATAAACACAAAGTCATTAAAGTTTAAAATAAGACTTCACATATCTTACAACTTCTGTTAACAGCCCAGGCTTTAATGACTTCAGCCTATGAAACACGCCTTTACTTGGGACAGGCATCAATAAGAGAGTCAGACGGGCCTTTAATCGTGTTTAAACTGAGGCGCCGCATAGCTTTGTGGTTATGTTGCGCGCCCCATGTACGCTGTAGTCCAAGTCGCAATGGCCGTGGGTTTGAATCCGACCTCGGCCCTTTGCTGCATGTCGTCCTGCTCTCTCTCTCTCTATCCTCCAAAAATGTCCTGTCTCTCTTTAGCTGTCCGATCAATGAAGGCCCCAAAAATATCTTAAAACAAAGTATGTGGTGTGTATGTGACTTCCTTTACCTCTGCAGCCAGCCTCTAGTGGACACTCGTGGATCTGCAGGATTTTACACAATTGCTGCTTGCTATTGCTTTAGAACATGTGACAGTGCCCTCACTAACACCTAATTTATTTTTGTAACATTTGTTCGATGTGATCATAAGCCTGTTATCAGGCAGTTTGAGCACCTGTCATATCTCACCTGGTCATCATGTCCCTTCACAGGTCAGGTATGAGCTTGTTAGTTGTGTTTAGTGTCGTGTGTGTGTGTGTGTGTGTGTGTGTGTGTGTGTGTGTGTGTGTGTGTGTGTGTGTGTGTGTGTGTGTGTGTGTGGTGTGTGTGTGTGTGTGTGTGTGTGTGTGTGTGTGTGTGTGTGTGTGTGTGTGTGTGTGTGTGTGTGTGTGTGTGTGTGTGTGTGTGTGTGTGTGTGTGTGTGTGTGTGTGTGTGTGTGTGTGTGTGTGTGTGTGTGTGTGTGTGTGTGTGTGTGTGTGTGTGTGTGTGTGTGTGTGTGTGTGTGTGTGTGTCTCTGGGGGATGTTTGTGTGTGGTTAGCATTGATCAGGCCTCTTGTTTACAGTGCTGGGCTCCTCAGGGACAGTTCTGGGGTTAATTTCTGCCACGGCTCCTCTCTGCTCCTCACCTCCTCACTCCTCAGGCTGCTGGAGGAGGAGCAGTAATGAGGAGGACACTGCTCCATGACTGCAGGTCAGCATGAGGAGGAGGAGGAGGAGGAGGAGGATCACCTCAGAGACAGATCATGGTTTAACTTTCTGCAGTCATGTTAATAACTCAAAGCTGAAGCGAGACAGAAATAGCTCTCGAGAGCATTGTCTGAATTGCACAAATATGTTGCCAATGTTTCTGTACAACTAAGACAATGTGCAGGAGTTTGCTGCAGTTTTCGTTCTTAAAAAACAAAATGTTACCACATGTTGTGCTTGTAATACTTTTATTTGTGTCGCTGTGATATTGAATCAGATGTTGATATCATCTGATTTTTAGTAGCATCATATCAAAGTTCATAAATGCGTTGTCACGACAACCCCACATTGTACACTTCTTCTGGTGTAAGAAAAGAACTTCAGTCCACCTCCAAACTGTATCACACTTTACAGCATTTAAAAAAATGTCTCATTTGAGAAGCTGTTACCTCAAATAGTTTTTTTGTTACTGAAAGGCGGAGTCGGTAGAAATGTAAACACAACATTTAAACTGGGTCCCTCCTCCTCCAGAAGCCACGCCCCCTGCAGGACGTAGTGTGTACGTTTACTGTTTCTACCTACACTGCAAGCTAACGCAACGCTAGCACAGGCTAACCGCCGGTGTTTGTCACCTGCCTGTCCAACAGGAAGCAGAACAACTCCACGTCCACGGGTAAAAGACAACACAAGGTTCACCCTCGTTTTAGAACGAGCTTTATCCACTTGGTGTTTCTCCTCACTGTGATTATATTTTTTCTTCTTTGCTGCTACGTCCACGTCCGTCATATTCTCTGGTTTAAACTTTGTCCAATCACTGAACTGTATCCTCTCCTAAACTCACCTGCTGCGCTCTCATTGGCTGGAGGAAACACACCAGCTCCGCCCAGAAACATCCCGAGTCAACCAGAACAAAGCAGGACAGTAAAATCCAGTCAGACTGTCTTTAATTACTCAATAATTGAAAATGTGTAATTTTCTTTCACATCGTATCTTTAAACTCCAGTGATGATGTCATCACTTTGGTTTTTCTGTCCTAAATATTCTCTTTCAAAGTAAAATGTCGGCATTTATTTAAGGAGCAGAGTGGATCAAAGGAAAATAAATTGAGGCCGTTTTTTAAATTCATCATTAAGCTTCACGATGATTTATTCAGGCAGGACGTCAAAGATGTCTCCTCTTACAGTAAATAAAGAGTCCTAGAAGGTTTCTGATGGTGCTCTGAGAAACTGTGCAGACATGTTTCCACATGTTTGGATAGTTAAATGATAAACAGCGGAGATAATGAGAGCACTGATGAAGGAACAGATTAAACAGACGGGGTTTATTTCAGAGCTTCTGTAGCGACGGGCCACAGTTACAAAAAGGATCAAATAATAAACTCTTTAAAGGTTGTGTGAGCTGGAGGCGTGGGAAGCTGAAAAACTCACAGCTTTCACCAAGCGGTCCGGCTCAGTTCAGTCCGGAAACATTTATTGGCGTTTCCAAGTCGGAGTGGTACCAAAATAACTGATCCGTACTGTCCTACTTTTATGGTATCAAGCGTATCAATCTGTTCCTAAAGGGTGGAGTTAGACACAATGCAGTCTGCTGATCGGTCGAAAAAAATCAAGGCACCAACAGTAATGAAGGACAAAACGCATCATCTTTAAATAGCTTGTGGGTTTGGAGATAGTAATTTAAGGCTGCTTTTGTTTTTTTGCAACTATTGTCAGTGCGTAACGACCTCATCTCTGTACCTGGTTTTAACCCAATCCTGTCTGTGTCTCTGCAGGTTCCTCCTCCTCCTCTTCGTCACCATGAGTTTCTTCTCCGGCCCGTCCGGTCCTCCCGGCTGCACCAGTATCCAGGAGCAGAGAGAGCGCTGGGAGAGGAAACGCAGCCGGACGGCTAAAGAGCTGGTTCAGACCGAGCAGAGATACTGTCAGCAGCTGGAGCTCATCAACACGGTGAGAGTCGGGGGGGGGGGGGGGGGGTTTACCTGCTGCAGGTGAACCTGTCTGATGTTTTCTGGTATAGATAGACCTGTACTTCAGTCACTTTAACTTTAAACGCTCGTTTACTTTAACATGAAGGCGTTACTTTAATTCTACAGCACATTTAATATGATATATAGCAATACAACAAGTATTGTGATTCTGGACTACATCTGTTTTCTTTGTTACCTGGGCAACGTGTACTGCCCCAACTTGTATATGATTGGCTGCCTGGAGCTCATCGTCATTACAATGCTGGACAGAACTGAGATGTTTCAGAGCATTATCTTTGTGTACAGTCCATCATTGTTAGTGATCCTTCTCCCCCTCCTTCTCCTTCTCCTCCTCCCTGTGGAGAGAACAGACACCTCTTCGTCCTCCTCCTCCTCCTCCTCATGGAGAGAACATATTTCTCCTTCCTCCTCCTCCTCCTTCTCCTTCTCCTCCTCCCTGTGGAGAGAACAGACTCCTCTTCCTCCTCCTCATCCTCCTCCTCCTCATGAAGAGAACAGACTTCTCCTTCCTCCTCCTTCTCCTCCTCCTCCTCTCTGTGGAGAGAACAGACTCCTCCTCCTCCTCCTCTCTGTGGAGAGAACAGACTCCTCCTCTTCCTCCTCCTCCTCCTCCTCCTCATGGAGAGAACAGACTTCTCCTCTCCTCCTCCTCCTTCTCCTCCTCCCTGTGGAGAGAACAGACTTCTCCTTCCTCCTCCTCCTTCTCCTCCTCCCTGTGGAGAGAACAGACTCCTCTTCCTCCTCCTCCTCCTCCGCATCATTTCTACACTTCCTCAGCCTCCACCCACTGTCTCCAATTAGAAGTCATTTTTAGGCCTAATGCACATTCAATTTGCTAATCCCATTTTCACTTCAAATGGCTTGAGACCGTCCCAGCTGTTGCTTGATTGTGAGAGAACAGCAGCATCCTAATGCGCTCTCTGCTCCGCTCAGATATACAGTCACAAATAATGTTAGCAGGAATGTACCACACTGTGAGCGTCTTTAAAGTTTCTCTCATTAGCTTTACATCTGCTGTCTTTGCTTTAAGAGTAATTATCTCCACTCTTTAACGGCCCGTCCAATCAGAGACGGCCGTGCTCTTTACTAACACAGAGAAATAACTTCACCTCTCTTTGTTCTTTCAGTACTTTGTGGAGCTCTTAAAGGCCAAAGGGACCCTGAAGCCAGACGTTCGAGAAAACATCTTCAGTTCAATTAAAGACATCCATTCAGTGAATCAGTAAGTATGCTCTGAATAATTAAAACAGGAAAAGAGACGAAAGAGACGCAGCATAGATAAGCTCTGAGTTTACCACATCAGCTGCTTATCTTCTGCATTAGCAACTCTAACGATGGGAGAGGCCAATCCGGTGTGCTAACTGCTGGTGATATCAGCATTAAAGAGCAGCATTATCGTAACCAAACAGCACGGATGAACTGTGTTTGCCCAGCTGACCTGCTGCTGAACGTCTTGGGGAGAGAAAACGGTCAAATCGACGTGCGAGAGTTCGTGCTCTCAGCGTTTCTGTTCAGAGGAGACATTGATCTTTGTGTCTGTGTGCGGTTAAAGCAACATCTCAGCGCGAGCTTGAAAGACTTTGCTAAGTTCGGCTCCATTAATAAAAGGTGGATGTTTGAAGAGAGAGCGTGTGCGCGTCTATAAATCAATCAGATACAAACATACAGTTAGAATCATGGAGGGATCTTAGAGCTCACCTCGAAGCTGAGGTCGACTTTCATCATTTCTGTTCAACACAACGGAATAATATCGGCGTGTTTCTGGTACACGCTTTGCAAAGACCTCCAAAGTATTTGACATATCCAAACTCCAAATTTACTTTGAGTTAGTTATTACATTAGTACTACGGCCTGACTGATATGAGATTCTTGGGGCAGATACCGATATATTGTCTGATATCTTTCTTAGCTCTATGTTCGATCTGTAGAGATAAACACATTTAGCATGTAGGTCCCTCACAGTGTTTCCCCTAGGTTTTCAGCTTGGGGTGGGTCAAAAAAGAAATCTAAAAAAAAAAAAAAACCTTTTTTTTTTTGTATTAACTTGACCTTCAAGGGGGGGCGGGCCACCCCCCTAATATAATGGTAGGGGAAACACTGCCTCAGTTATCAAAGTCTTTATAAAGATTTATAATGAAGAGATGAAAGTCACTCGACTGGAGAGTAACTGAGCATGAACGTGCATCACCGCTCGACACTCTGCAGAGTGATGATGTTTGTTGTAATCCATACAGCGCCCTCGCTGGTGACAGAGAACTGTTAGTGTAATACAATGAAACTCAAACTCGATAAAGTTAGCCGATACAGAGATTCACCTGATATTCTAATATCGGCCGATAATCGGCTGGACGAATAATCGGTCGGGCTCTAATTGCTGCATTACACGTTTACGCAGCCACTACGTTGACATGCTTTCACATGCGATGAGGCGTGAAGATGCAGCCTCATTAGCGTTATCATTGTGCGGCTGAGGTTCCCATGGCGGTCAGAAAGAGAGCAAGTTCTTGCCATAGTGGTGTTCATGTGCAAAGAAAAAATAGGAGGGATAGAAAAAATGTGCACGTGGTAGTGGCGAGGGAGAGGTGGTTAACTTAACAAATAGAGCTTGAGGTCACGTTATTGTTAGTGTACGCTTTCTGTTGGTCGGTTAGCTGACGTAGATGGTAGACGTATTCACATCGTCAGGAGATTGTCCTACATTTCTGACACTGTCAGATATTTGTCAAGAGGACAACAGCCAATCAGAGCTCAGACCAAGAGGAATTCAACCAATCACAGAACAGCCTGTCTCATTGGTTGTATTCCTCTTGTTCTGAGCTCTGATTGGCTGGTGTCCTCTTGTTCTGAGCTCGGATTGGCTGGTGTCCTCTTGTTCTGAGCTCGGATTGGCTGGTGTCCTCTTGTTCTGAGCTCGGATTGGCTGGTGTCCTCTTGTTCTGAGCTCGGATTGGCTGGTGTCCTCTTGTTCTGAGCTCTGATTGGCTGGTGTCCTCTTGTTCTGAGCTCGGATTGGCTGGTGTCCTCTTGTTCTGAGCTCGGATTGGCTGGTGTCCTCTTGTTCTGAGCTCTGATTGGCTGGTGTGCTCTGAGTCAAACTCTCTGCAGACTGAATAAAGAGCGTTTCAGGCTCTGCACTCTCTGACAGACTCTCTCTTGCTCTCGACGGAGACTGAAGTATGAATTAGTGGCTGTGATGTGTTGGATAAATGGTTCCCTGGTTCCCATACATCTTCATTATGAGCTCCTTATTGAATCAATGGCTGAAACATAATGGAAACGCTCCGTTTAAAGAGCTCCACAGAGAGACTCTGTGTTACAGCCTCATGATTGATGATAGGTTCTCGCATTTCCTCTCCACAGTCAGTGATGTTTGATTCACAGTAAAGATCTGTGTGACAGAATAACAGGTGATGATGATGATGACCTCTCACAGTCTGTCTCTAAACACGTCACATGCTGGAAGGCGTGTCTTTAAGGTCTTTCTACTTTCTGCCGTTCAGGAGAAGGTTATGGTTACACGACTAAGGACCTGGTTTACTAAGATCCCAGGTAGTGAGTAATAAGTTCCATGTCCAGATCAGTTAATGGCTCGTTCGGTTGGTGGGCTCTCTACGGGGGATCAATCAAGAAGAACTTTGTGGATGATAACAGGTGCAAAGAATGTGGAGGCCGTCGTATTTAAATGAGGCGTATTCACGTGGAATCAGAGGAAGAGGCACATTTTACACAGCAAAGAAATCTGAATACGACAAAAAGAAATGCCATTAAGGCATTCAAGTGAAAAGTAGCGATGCACCGACCGGCTGATACTGATGTTTTTGTCATTTCTTCTTTCGCTCTTAAGGCTCAGATATACCTGCTTTTGAACCACACGTTGACGATCTTCTAGGGGAAGCGTGCTCAGGCACGGTACGGATTGTCTAGAGTGAGTGCGCCCTTAAAAGCACGTGGTATGAAGAGTGTGAAAGTATCGATCACTGTGAGAGCCTTCACACCCCACCTGGGCTCTGGACGACTATCTCTCTTGTGTTTATCAAACTCAAATGGATTTCCTCTTCATGATCTGTGCAGCAGATTTTTTTTGTTTTTTTATTTAACCAGGAAAGAAAGTCATTGAGATTAAAAACTAAAGCGAGCAGCAAACTTAAACGCCTTTTCCCAGTTCAGTTCTGTGATAGAAGAGTGTCAGAGTGGAGGTGTATCCATCCTTCTGTCTTTATTTACTGAAGAGGAGAGCAGCAGGAGCAGAGTTACCGGTAATACATTCAGCTTTCATTAAGCTTTGTTCACTTACATAAGAAACACAGACGTGAATCTATTGATATTCCACGCTGTTCATTCAGACAGCGAGCGAGCGAGCCAATTATCCCCAGCTGCTAACATGACAGGCAGGAATCAACTACTTGAAAGAGCAGTCAGTGGAGGGGGAGGAAAGGGAGGGAGAGGAAAGGGAGGGAGGAGGAGGGAGAAGAAGGAGGAAGAAGGAAGAGAGGAGGAGAGAAGGAGGAGGAGGTCTTAATGAGAAAAGGTTCAGTGTGAGGAGTCCTTGCTTGTTTTCTTGTCAGTGATTGGTCGTGTTTGTGTATTCAATCAGGCGTCTTGTGTTTAGTATTCGTGTGTTCGGGCCGTCCGGTGATGAAGGCTCCTCGGCCTCCATTGTTTGGTCGAGGTTGAATCCGCCCCTGATGTCGCCGCTGCTCAGAATTAATGTGGATTAACGTGACTGGAGCTGAATGCTAATGTTATCTGCCCCTGCCGCTCGCTGATGGCCAGACAATTTAATTGCTGTGAAGAAAATATAAAAAGTGTAATCCATAATTTCATATTTATCATAATAGCCTGCGGCAGAGAGAGGATACAAAAAAAAAACGGAAACCGAGTTTTTCCCGCCCTTTGCCCTCGTTAGAAGTGTCGGCTGCTCCTGCATCTCCTGATTATGAACAGAGGCTACCTTAGTGCACAACTTCATTAAAATCTATTTAAATCAACTTCAGCTGCCTCCTCCAACTCCTCCTCCTCCTCCTTCATCTTCATCTTCTTCTTCTTCTTCTGCAGCAGCGAGTACGAGCAGAAGTCTCTGGGAACATCATTAGAGAGGAGGAGGAGTGTGTGTAACTCTGTGTGTGTAACTGTGTGTGTGTGACTCTGTGTGTGTGGTAGTGCCTCTAAGTTTGGATAACAAGCTCCTTCACGAGTGTCAACACCCCCAGCCAATCGCCTGCATGTTACTGTAATGTGCCTGACAGGCTGAACGACTGCTCTTCCTCGCCTTCATCCTCGTGTTTTGTTCCTGAGATCGGCGGGCGTGCTCTCACTACAAAGTGGCCCCCGTTGCCCTGAAGGTAGACCCGCCGTCTGGGTCCCGGTAAATACGACACCCGCAGGGAGAGGCCTTGAAATGACACTACAGAGAGGTCCCATTAACGGGGAAGCAGTCCTCTGAACTGAGCTCAACCTCTGCTCTGTTTGGAGAAAACGATGCTTCAGATGTGATCTTGCCTGTTTGAGCGGCGTTCCTCCACTGATGCAGAGCAGCAGAGCGCTCAGGCGGTAATGAGCATTAGCTTTAAGTCCAACGCGCTTGTGACTGCAGGCTAAATGCTCAGTGGGGGGGGGGGGCACAGAGAGAAACGTGTCAAAGGTCTGATGCACCAAAATAATACGCCGCGCTCTGACATAGTTATTTACACCACGTCCTGAGTGAAGGATGTTGCTGTGACTCAGTGATGATGTCTGCTCGTGTGCACGCCCTGCATCGGCGACGGTGACCCCGTAAATAATACCACAGGGTCAGGTGGTTCTGTGGATGTGTTGGTGTTCGAATTCCTAGAGACAAAATACTGAGTCATTTATTGTTTTTAATGAACTATTATTGCTGTCAATCTTCTGCACAGTCTTAATTCCAACTTTCAAAAAGTTGGCAAAGTTTTTGTGTAATTGAGACCGCGCAGGAGTTTTCCCCCCACACACACTTTGATACTATCGATCATTAAAACAATCGAGATTGTATCGTTTAAAAACTCGTGATATCTAAAAGTGTCAAACATTTAACGAGCTTAGTTGTGATTGCATCAGGACTTCAGGTTGGAGGAATGTGTCGTCACTTTAATACGTTTGTTTGCAGTGAAATGAAGCCTCAGCTAGCGTCAGATAAACGGAAACATAAACTTTATTCACTCACTGCTGTTCATCTTATTCTACATTCATTCAAACCTGGGGGACAAAGTTCACCTTCAAACTGTAACGAGACGTTTGAATTAAAAACATTCAGTCTCATCAGTTCATCAGGCTGAAGTAGTTCACAGTTTGATCCAGCAGAGGGCGCTCTCAACATGACTTGACCTTTGCATGACCTCAGTAAATGAAGACGGTAATGTTGCGTTTCCTTCCTCTAAGTTGTCACTGATTGTGTCTCTTCTTGCAGAGCTCTGCTGGTCCATCTGGAGAACGGTTACTACGGTCGAGGTTTCGATCAGTTCTGTCCACACCTGAACCACTACAACACCTACGTGGACAACATCTACAACTCCAGCAAAGTGCTGCGGGTAAGTAACACACCTCAGCAGCTGTGTGAACACCACGTGTTATGAGTGTCATCATCTCCTCACTTTTAAACACACAGTGAGTGATGTGAGAGGGTTCTTTGATGCGGACGTCATCAGTTTACTGCTCTCAGCGTCTCCATGGAAACGCCATCATGTATGTGCTGCATAGTGACTGGTTGTGTGGTTTGATTTTGAACTCCTGAACGTCCACCAACATGTGGCGTTACTGTCAGACAGTGACTCTAGTCTGATCCCGCTGGAGGGAGCACGGGGACGTTAATGTGGGCTGTGCCGTCCTAAACACAGATTTAATCTGCACCGGTTGTTGAGAGGTGGTGAATACACAGACAGCTCTGTTAAGATCTCTGAATGTATAATACATTAAATCAAACGGTAATGATTCCACAGCAACTAATGTTTGCATCTTCATGAGACGCCAAATAAAAAATCTGACTGAAGTTTTTTTAAAGCTTCATAGGATCTTTAAAATAACATCATTATCGTATCGTTTTAAAACAGGTGAAAGTGTGTGACAGCCTCAGGAGAAACCTTTTATTCCCTTAAAGTCCCCGTGAAATCAAACACATGTTTTCGAAACGATCATTTCAGGATCGGTGTTTTTATTCACTGATGTTTGGTGTCAGTTTCTCCTCTGATTACGGAGTGTGACTTCTCTTCACCGTGGCGCTGTCTGACATCATACCGCTTCCTTCTTCTTGAGCCGATCACTATCCTTCATGTGTTCCTCATTCATGTCAGAAACACGACCACGAGGAGTCATGGAAATGAGATGCGTCCAGTCAAACTGGCTAGAAAATGGATTAGATAATCTTATACAGCCACAGTTTGTTTCGACATGTCTCTGTCATATTTGTTAAATGACTGATTGTTGTTCAGAATTAATAAAGAGTTTTATTTCTCTGTAACCTCAGAGTGTCTAAACACAGCTGCCATGTTTACTCCGTGACTGACAGCAGGGACACCACAAGGACTCTTTGCCGTGCTGGTGTTGACACATACTCATGCTAACATGATGTGCAGATGAATATTTAATGACATGTACAACCCCCATCCCTCGTACAGGGGGAGGAGGAGGGGTATACATGTCACTGAATGAGGACTGACAGCAGGAGGGTTTCTGTTTGTCGGGCACAGTGAGCATCCCCACAGTGATATGAGAATCAGAGGTCCTCCCTGTTTGTGACATGTTCATCATACTCTCCTCTGCAGGCTGCATGCTAACACTGTTAACAACATACAGGTCTGAATTTGCACACCGTGTATGCTTGGCTTAAGAGAAGTTGTCCCTGTAATTCTCAACAATCCTGTGTGTTGTTTCAGATCCAGCTGACGAAGAACAAAGCTTTCAGACGCTTTAAGAAACTTCAGGAGGAGCGACCACAGTTCGGCGAACAGAGACTGGAGGATTTGCTACAACTTCCTGTTCTGAGGATTGACCAGTAAGATCTCTGCCTTCTCTTTGACTAGATCGGTTTCTACGGCTGCAATTACTCAGTGTCGAACCTACAGTTTGTTCAAACATCTCAAAGAACAATGAAGACGTTCTCCAAACAAAGCAGGAAACAATGAAATAGCTTCTAGTTAACGTCCAGAAACTGTTTCCATCACATCCTCATTAGCCTTTACTAAACTGATGCTGCTGGTGTGATGCTAACGCAGGTTGCCATGTGGTTTATCCAGCTCTGCATGGGTCTGTAAACCTTTCTGTGTTCTAACCTCTCTCCATTTTTTAAAAGCATCTCCAATATTTATCCTAATTTGAGCACGTTTCTGCTCGTGGAGCTTATTAGAAACATGCAGAGGCTTTTTAGGTCGGGTACAATCACTTCTATCTGAACCACTTCTCTTGCCCGCTTCCATCGCTGCAACACCTGTTGACCTGATAACTGCTCTCATATCTGACAAACCGAGGGGCGTCCAAAACGGTTGTGTGGGGATGCCTTAAAACCGCCTACCTTCTCTGGTCCAAACAAATCCAGAGCATTCAGGAGCAGAATCTAAAGTTAGAAGGAGGACATACTGGCTGCTGCATTGTTGTCAGAGAAGCCAGCACTTCAACATAGCATGTTTCCTTAATGTGTGATCATATAGTCAGGTCACTTTATCGTTTCACTCACTACACATCTCACATATTGATGCTGCAGTTGTATGAAATCTGTTTTTATGGACGGTGTAAAGAAAACAAAAGCGAGTGTTTATGGCGGCGTTCCGGTCGTTGTGTTCGACGGGTCACAGATTTCACTTCTGTTTGAGATGTTCTGTAGTTTTCTCTCCACCAATCACCTGCTGCTGTTCACTACCTCGTCTATCTGGGACAGATGTAATTATTATTATTGTATGTAGCGTCCACGTAAAGTGTCCAATCACTGTCAGAATCTCTTCACTTAGTGCTGGGGTGTCGTGCGGTCCTGAACTCGTTGGTTAATTAGTGGAAGGAGAAGAGAAACGGGCTGAGGCGTGTTCTCTGATGAAGCAGATATCATGACAGAGGTTCATCAAGCTGCCGGTTTTATCTTAATTAGTTCTTCTTATCTCTCGTGTCTCCAGATGTACAGTCGTATAAATGTGACATCCATCTTTCTTCGCAGAGACGTGTGTGTGACACAACTTCACCCGAACATCTGAAACTCTTTACTGCACGTCTCGTTTGTGTTCACGTCTCCACGACAACATCGTCACGGTCACGCCATTTCCTGTTTCCATTCTTTATTTGATATATGAACATACAGCGTCATTGATCCCAGAGAATCCACTGAAGATGGGCGTGTTCATTTATCTCACTTATTTTATTGTTTCAACAAACGACTTCATTTGCCCATCTATACTCTGTTCCCCTTCTATTCTCTTATCCACACACACACACACACACACACACACACACAGCTCTCCTCGCTCGCTCCTCGCTTTGTTTATCGTGTTTCTTGTGTGTTTTTCAAACTATTCATCAGCAGTCGTTAGTGCTGCTCATGAACATGTCCCACGTTTTGAAATGTGTCTCTCGATATTCCGTTTTCACATCAGGAGATCAGCGCTTACACTTCTGTTTATGACGCCCATCACAGCGATCAATGCAGCTGCAGAAAGAAATTAAAACAACAGACTGAGAGGGCACCGTGTAGCACTCTAATCGTGCACTTATTGGGAGGGGCGTACATCAGCGGACTTCTCTCTTTCTTTCTTAGCTCTCGTGTGATGAGGAAATCTGTAGATACTTCACACAAGGGGACTCCGATGGCTCAAGTTGTAGTAGCTCCGTCCGACCGTCCCATAGGCTTGATGACACATCGTAGGTCGGGAAATGCACCTGGGCGTCCCGCCAGGGTGACGTTAAGGGAAAGGTTTTGTTGTGGCAGCACTCGCAAAGAGTGTGGTCTGTTACCTTCTCTTTGTGTCTCGAGGTAACATTTGTTTTAAATTTGCACTTTGCAAAAAAAGATTTCTTTAATTGACCTGCAGCGGAGGCAAAGTAGCGCTCCTCTACATTTATTAAATGATAAGCAATCAATAAAATAAAACTCGACCCCTCGTTCATTCATTGAGACAATCTCTCACACGATGTCTGAAGCTTTGAATACTTTTTGCATTTGTGATATTTGGATCAATAAAATCACAGACTATCGTTTTGAAATGTGAAATTAAAAAGTATGGAACATTTTGACGACCTTAGTGGTCTGACACGCGTCCACGTGTGATGGAAGTCTTCATCAGTCCTCTTCGTATCCTCCTGAATCTTTGATTTCATCATCTTTACCTGCAGAGGATCAATCATCTGAATTATTGCCGACTGCTCTCGATATGTGCACGTCTTTAAATACAGGGGATTCTTCCTTCCGACTGCGAGTCTGTCTCTGGGTAAACCATGTTTGAATAGCATGAGGATCCTCCAGGTCCGTTTACTGAGAGCTCTTCCTGTTGGACTCGTTCACTGCGTTGGATGATCTCAACATGTTTTCTTTACAAACTACCCATCAAGTTTTTCTGTCCATACCTGAAGCCTCGTTAACTTTTTATCTACCGAACAGGTAACTTGTTGTCTGAGCAGGCTGACCCTCAGGTGTGAATGACTGACAGGTAATCCTCTGCAGCTCGGCTCTCTCTCTCTCTCTCTTTCTCTCTCTCTCTCTCTCTGCTCCTCCCATCATCATCATCATTGATTAGTCTGACGCCCTCGCTGAAGCTCAGGAGACTCGAGGGACGTGTCTAATTGTGTGATGATTTTAAGTGGCACGGCTGGATAATCATCTCCGGCCGGCTCCTTATCTCGCAGCGGCACGGCAGCGGGGAATAGCAGGAAATTGTTGTCACTTATCACCGCTCAAGGATGATGGATGGCGAGCAGGGCTGGAGTGAGGATACTTATGTTGCTGCTGGGGGAGGAATAAAATCATTGCCTTTATTAAGTGGCATTCAGCGGATCGGGCTGGAGCAGTCGTCAGCGTCCTTCCCGCTGAGATCTCCATTATGACAGTGATGGAGTCTGGGGCTGATTGTTGGAGTGAATAGCAGCCGTCCCCGCCTGTGCGAGTCCTGTTTGTGTTCATAATAGAGACGCTGCTCTTGTAGAGATGGCAGGAAGTGGAGGCCTTGGATAAAAATACTCCGAGCTGAGCCTGTTTGTGCTGCATTCACTGGTTGTCATGAGGGTGGGAATCACCAGAGACCTGACAATTTATTATTATAGGGTTGTCATAATACTAGAATTCAAAACGCAAATGTGATATTAGAGAACAACACTCAAAATGCCGACCTGTTTGATACCACGGCAACAAGAATAGAAGTCCCAGGCGCCCAGTCTTTGGTCGTTTCTTGTTTTTAATGAGCAAAACGTTGGCGACGTGTGCAATTTAGATGGTGCTCTCTTTCTCTTGTGGCGCTTAGTCAAAGTAGACTAAGGGTCCGATCACTCAGACGCGTATTTAGGAAAGGGCTGCCGGCAAAACCGTTGTTTTCCTCTGGTACAGCACGCTTGCATGGCGCCTTCTCTGATGTTGCCTGATGCGTTTTTTCCCAGTTTTTGGGCGCGCATAAAAGTTTAAAAAAAACTCTTAGACTTTTCAGCTCTAGAGGGGGAGTCGCAGCGCATGTCTTTGTCACTGTGGAGGGGGCTCACTGTGGAGGGGGGGGTCACTGTGTGGTGAGCTCACTATGGAGGGGGGTCACTTTGTGTTGGGCTCACTGTGGAGGGGGGTCACTTTGTGTTGGGCTCACTGTGGAGGGGGGTCACTTTGTGTTGGGCTCACTATGGAGGGGGGTCACTTTGTGGTGGGCTCACTATGGAGGGGGGTCATTTTGTGTTGGGCTCACTGTGGAGGGGGCTCACTTTGTGGTGGGCTAACTGTGGAGGGGGCTCAATATGGAGGGGGCTCACTGTGTGTTTGGCTCACTGTAAAGGGGGGCTCTGGGTAGAGGGGGTGTGAAAAGGTTCTCCCATACCTTTCATCTGCCCCCACCTTCCCTACACTGGCCTGCACAGTGATTAGGCTGAGTGAAATCACCTGAGCTTAATTGGACAGAGTGAGGCCAGTTGGGTTGTTTCTTGTATAAAGCCAGACTCAGCCAGAGTCTGGGGGGAAAATGTTTGTTGGTGGCAGTTTGCTGTGAAGCTGTGGTTTTTTTTCAGTTTATGTAATCTAGTTGTTTTATTAGATTACCCGCGACTTTTGTTTTTGTTGTTTTGTGCTATTTTCGGTTAATAAATCAACATCCTTATTTTGCATCGATTTCTGCCTCCTGACATCTTTTTTGCTCACCACCAGTGCCGAACAGCCACACTTAAATCCCAAATTTTGATGTTGACTTACAATCAGCAATGTTACAGGAGGTTCTTGTAAAGGCCCCTGCAGAGGTCTTGGGGGTCAGTGTCAAACTTGTTGAAAACATGAAGAAGTGTGCGTGCTGAAGCAGCCATGTTTGATTGCGTGTGTGAATAGACAGGAGGGGCTCGTCATGGACTTCTTTATGTGCTCAGGTAGTTCATCTTCTTCAACAGCTGAACACACACACGGCTCTCCAACACAAGGTCGCCCTGATTCTCTTCTTTAGAAAGGAAAGATGGAGTTTTTTTAAGTGGCTCCACTCTGCATGCTGCAGGTACAGGGCTGTGTTTGGATGGATGTTTGTGCGGTGTCGGCCGACCCTGCGGTTCACGGTCAGGCTCGAGTGTTAAACAAAGCGGCTGATTTATGTTTGTCTTCAGTTGTTAGTTGAGTCTGTTCACCTTTAACAAGGAGAAAACACTTCACTGCCAAGAGAGATTCAGTCGTATCTGTCTAGTATTTTCTTCAACAGTCCAAATGTATGGTGCAGGTCAGCATGTGTTTCTGTCTTTTATTATCTGTGAAGTGGAAGCCTCAGATGTAAGTGTGTAAATAAAGGATGTCTGAGGGAGAAGCAGTGTTCAAGGACAGAAAGCCTTCATTATGATCGTGTTATTATCACAAAGAGGGATGACACTGACCCGTCACAAAGGTTAACTTAAGCTCCTCCTCCTCACAGAGTTTACACTTTTATTTCACACTCTCAGCTCGGCTCTCTCAGCTCGTCTCTCAGCTCAGCTCAGATCTCTCTCTCAGCTCAGCTCTGTCTTTCAAGCTCTCTCCCAGCTCGGCAATTTTTTTTCTTATTTGGCAAAACAGTTCTTGATTTCGTTGAGTGTAGTGGACATAATATGCAGTTAAAAAAGCTTAATCGCAATATATTGTATCGCAATTCTCAGCATATCGCAAAATGTTTAAAATCGCAATAGAATGGTATCGTGTCTTGGGTATCGCGATGATATCGTATCGTGGGGACGCTGGTGATTTCCACCCCTACTCATCATGTTGTCGTGTGTAGATGAGGATTGTGATCATATTATATTTTCCATCCCAAATAGTTTCTGTTCCGTACATTCACTTCAAACACACTTCAGCTGACTGTGCAGCAGCACGCCGTGATGATAAAGCGCCAGCTGTTCTGCACTCTGATAAAAGCATTTCCTAATGTGCACATTGACAGTGCATCCTGTCTATCAGAGAGATAAGACTCTCCACACTCTCTTCTTACTGTAGTTTAATTGCTGTAGTGGACGGTGCAGTATCTGCAGTCCTCTGTATTTACCACATGTGCATTCTTTTCCTTTTAAGCTGTTAAATGTGAGTAATTACCCAGCAGCCCGCGCCATGCTCAGTAACCCGTGCAGGAGCTGCCAGCCTCTCTTGTCTCTTAATTACATATTTGAATCTTTAATGCATGTATGGAAAGAGAAATAATTAGACAGATATTTCCCCCCTTTACAGACGTGTGCATGTGAGAGAGAAATCTGAATATCATCTGCATAAAGAGCAGAATTAGCTGCATTCTTCCTCCCAACACGTGAACTGTACTGAACACGGTTCAGATTATCGTCTCATTATCTTCTCTCTGCTGTGCCGCTAACGAGCGGGACAAGGCAGCTAAACGAGAGCGCTGCCTTTACATTGTTGGAGATGTGCCGTAATAAAGCTCATTAGAGTCTCCTTTTCTTACACAGCTGCTTTAATTAGATCTCGGTGTTGGCTCTTTAATAAGAGCGAGTGCATCCATCGCTAATAACGCCTGTAATGTGTTTGTTACTACACGACGGGACAAGGAGAGGCAGGAGTGAGATTATTACTCTTTTTAAGCGGCTCCTAATTGAACGAGGCTTCAATGGAGCTTGTCTGACTTTTGTTACGTTTCCAAAGAGTAATCAAGTACAACAACAACAACGCCTCCTCCTCTTCCTCCTCCTCCTCTTCCTCCTTCTCTTCCTCCTCTTCCTCCTTCTCTTCCTCCTCCTCCTCCTCCTCCTGCTCCTTCTCCTCCACCCTATCCCTGTATTCTGAAAGTCTCATTAAACCTTAAAATGACAGATTACCACAAATAATTTGAACTCACAATTTCCTATAAAAGCTCCAACATAAATCAGGATGTTGTTTTCTCCACACAGGAAGTACCACCAATCAGCTGTTCTCTCTTGTCAGCAGCAGGTCGTGACAGCGTTTGTTATTCCCTGTCTTTGGCACCAGTTTGTCTCTGAAGCAGGTCCAGACTAGAGAGAGAGACAGGCAGAGAGAGCGAGAGAGAGAGGGCGAGCTCCAGAGGCAGACACACTCAGTGGAAATCAATGTCAATCATCGATGCTCCTCAAGGTCACTTCAAGACGTCAAAGCTGATGCTCTGCACAAACTGTTACTGGAGACAGAAACTTTATTCAGAGGATCTGAAATGGACGCCATGATTACACCACTTCATGATAAATGAAGTCTCTTATTGTAAAATGCTGAAAATAAACACTTTACATATCGTAGGATCACAAAGAGTTGCTCCTCTGTCTTAAAGGCACACCGATCTCTCCTTCACATGTTTGGTGAACACGTCTTTGAATCAGCAGTAAATGTCCGCTCGTGGTCACTAATTGAATATTTGTCGTCTTCTGCTTCTCCCAGGAAACATTGTGATCACTGAGAGTGCAGAGAGAATGGGTCTAACATCCATTTCTTTGATTATTCATCAAAGTAATGGATCAAATCTGAATTATTTAATTACAGTCTAATGGTTATTTTCAGCCCTGCGTGCTGGTCTCTGATTGATTTCATCAGATATTTCATATCAGGCCGCGTTGAGATGGTCCGCTCTCTCTCTCTGCGTTGAGTCTGAGGCTCGGGTTCTGGGTTTTAAAAACCTCTGGACGGAGCTGAAGTCAGTGTTTGATTTGTTTTTATCGAGCAGATCTTCCGCTCGTCCTGTTACAGCTGTATCTGTCAAAAAGCTTCAGCGTCAGGCCAGCTTCAAAGAGAAAACTTCTCTCCATCTTCACAAGGTCGGAGATGAAACCAGACTCTGATTGGAGCCTGTTAGATGACGCTGCTTCTCTTCGGCTGCAAGAGGTCAAATACAGACACGCAGCAGACATTGTATAGAGACATCGTACAGACATGCTGCAGAAACATCGTACAGGCACGCTGCAGAGACATCGTAGAGACACGCTGCAGAGACATCGTACAGACACGCTGCAGAGACACCGTACAGAGACATCGTAGAGACACGCTGCAGAGACATCGTAGAGACACGCTGCAGAGACATCGTAGAGACACGCTGCAGAGACATCGTACAGGCACGCTGCAGAGACATCGTACAGGCACGCTGCAGAGACATCGTACAGACACGCTGCAGAGACACCGTACAGAGACATCGTACAGACATGTTGCAGAGACATCGTACAGAGACATCGTACAGACACGCTGCAGAGACACCGTACAGAGACATCGTACAGACACGCTGCAGAGACACCGTACAGAGACATCGTACAGACACGCTGCAGAGACATCGTACAGACACGCTGCAGAGACATCGTACAGACACGCGGCTGAGACATTGCACAGACATGCAGCAGAGACATTGTACAGACACGCTGCAGAGACATCGTACAGGCACATCGTACAGACACGCTGCAGAGACATTGTACAGACACGCTGCAGAGACATCGTACAGGCACATCGTACAGACACGCTGCAGAGACATTGTACAGACACGTTGCAGGCAAGCTGCAGAGACATTGTACAGACACGCTGCAGAGACATCGTACAGACACGTTGCAGGCAAGCTGCAGAGACATTGTACAGACACGCTGCAGAGACATCGTACAGACACGCTGCAGAGACATCGTACAGACACGCTGCAGAGACATCGTACAGACACGCTGCAGAGAAATTTTTGATCATATTGTTCTGTTTGAATCTTTTTCCTTTTGTCCACTGATACATCCAGATAGGGAGCGTATATAACATCCACACAGCAAGCTTATATAAGGTCCAGACAGTTTAACAAAATATTCTGTGGGATGCATTATCATGTAATAATAAGTGTGCATGTTTTGTGTTTTCTGACAGGTACAAACACTTCCTGCAAGACCTGGCTGCCAACACGAGTCCAGATGTCCCCGAGTTTCAGCAGATCTCCAGTGAGTGTCTTCATAATTTCTGAACATGTAACGATACGCTACAACAACAATAACCCAGCGTGCATCACAACATGTACACCACACGATATGAGCAGATCCTGCATAATTTAACCTAATACAAAATGGTACAATACCTCAAGATAAGCTACAATAGAATACCATAAGACAGGATATGGTGTGCCATGCTACTGGACGCCAGTCTTCCACTGTCCTGTTGTTGACAGCTACTGACCAGAGCTACAGCGCCAACTAGTAATATAAACGAGAATGAGAAGTGATAAGAGAAAAGAGAAAAGCTCCTCATGATGAAATCACACAATGGCTACAGTCTTCAAAACCTGATTTATAGTCTAAAGTACATTATCGAGACCGCTTTTCCCGTTCAGGGTCAGGGGGGCTGGAGCCAATTTCAGATCTCATTGGTTGAGAGGCGCGGTTACACTGTGGACTGGTCAACAGCCAATCACAGGGCTGACATATAGAGACAGACAACCAGCCACACTCACATTCACAACTACAGGTAATTTAGAGTCACCAGTTTACCTAATGAGCATGTCTTTGGACTGGGAGGAAGCTGGAGTACCCGGAGAGAACCCACATATGCACGGGGAGAACATTCAAACTCCACACAGAGAGGCTCCTGTCAGACGGGGATTCAAACCAGGAACCTTCTTGCTGTGAGGGGACAGCGCTAACCACTGCACCGTGCAGCTCTATAATGTGAAGTGAGAAATGAAAACTAAAGTTTTGCACAGGTTGTGGTGCTGAAGTGGATTTTCTCTGTTTGTCAGCGACTTTACAACAAGTTGACGTTTGATCTGATCAGACTCTGAGCGAGATCCCACGACGTGTTTACATCTCAGAGAGCGAGCAAAGTAAACGTGTACATTTATAGAATAAAGAGAGAGAGAGCGACCTGATGGCCCGGTGTGTGTCAGAGTGAAGGACAGCTCTCATCATCTCCGTTTGAGGAACAAAGCAGCATCTCTCTCTGCCTTTCATTCCTCATTTGTTGTCGTTGCTGCAGAGCTTCAGCGCTGCACGAATGCATGCTCCGCGTGTACGCACATCTACGTCCTGGTTTGATGTGGAGTTTTGACATAATTAATTGGGAGCGGATCAGAGGATATTAAGCGGGGCCGTATTAATAAATAAAATCTTCAACATCAACACGGATCCTGATAATGACTCATTTCAATCGTCTTAATAAACAGCAGATCTGAGCGCGGCGTGAATATACACAAGGAATTATTTATGTGTATCAATTAAAATCTCATTGCTGCCGTGCTGCCACTGCTTACGAGTGAAAGCAGCAGTCGACTCCTAAGATGAACGTACATCTCCTCTTCCTCTTCTCATTAGAGAGTCTTTTTTTAACTTCTGTGTGTGTGTGTGTGTGTGTGTGTGTGTGTGTGTGTGTGTGTCTGTGTGTGTATAAACTTCCCACAGTTAGCTCGTACCGTAAAGGGAATTATTTAAAAAAAGAAACTCCAGACAAATCACATTGTATCTGATTAAACAAAGTGGAATCACAGGAGGCTTTGTTGTTGTTGTCTCTTGTTTACTCGCTCTTTGTCCGTTTGCTTCTCTTCTTTTTCCTCACCCCCCCTCTCTCCCTCTGACGCCTCACTCCTCTCCCTCCCTCTGACGCCTCACCCCTCTTTCTCCCTTTCTGTGCATTCAGGCTGGATTTAATTGTTGTAATTGCAGAGTTCAGGAGTTTTCAACAGCTTGTCTTTACGCTGAGTTTCACCGCGGTGACTGTAAGCGAGTGTGACCTGACCGTGTGCATGTGTCAGAGATTTAACAGTAAAGTTAACGGCGTCTAAAGCGAGAATAAGTGGAATAGTTAAGAGCTGAAGACACGTCTGCAGAATGTGTAAGAGGCCATGTTTTATTAATGCCTTGGCCAGAGCTCAGCTGTAATTAGGAGTTGTTGTTTTTCTAAAGCAGGCACGGGAAAATATTCCAAACACGAGCAGCAAAAAAGAGAAAGTCTACACGGACGCCTTGTTTGGTTTACATTGTAATGGTTGTGAAGTTAAGCGTGCCAATTAGGCCGTGATTATTTTAGTGTTGGCGCGTTGCCCTGAGGATCGCAGAGTTTCAGCTCGACACAAAAGAAGGAAAAGTTGAGCTTGAAATGAGAATCGCTCTCTTTGTTGTTATTTTGGACGCCTTAATGATGCAGCTCTAAATGTTGCAGCAGGAATTATGGAGGAAGGCGGTAATTGGAGGCTTCTGTCTGACTCTTTATATTATCTGACTGCAGCTTTGTGCAGAGAGTGAATGAGGTGAGGGGTAGTACGCTGTAGGAGGTAGTGTGATTAAGAGTTATACTGTTGATGGTTCCATGAATGGTTCTAAAGTTCAGGTGGAAAAGCTGCAAAAAAAAGGTGCCGACGTTAAACCGCCGTTAAAACCCTCCGATCCTCCTCATCCTCCAAGTTATCACACCTCTCCAAATGATCACCATGACGACCGTATCTTACAGAGGGCTTTAAACCTACTAGCAGCTGCATGTGAGATTTACGTTAGGGCTCCATTAAGTTAGTGTTCACACTTCAAAAATCAGGTTTGTTAAAAAACAAAGATCAACTCGTAATGAAAGCTGTTCACAAAGTGTGGCTTTGATATCTGTGTTACCCGGAGGTTCATCCACCATGTTGGATAACCTGGGTCACCTCCGGTCTTTAACCCGGGGACAGAGAGGCTGAGGAGTGTGCAGAGGGATGAAGAGGATCACCAGCTCACCGTGGTGATAACGGTCTCCTGAGAAAGAACCTGAACCCTCTTTACTGTAAGCGACCTGAAGCGGAAGGCTCCGACAAACAACCAGTGTTTGTTTTTCTACATCTACATCCTGCGCTCTGCTCTCAGTCTTATTTATCAGGCCTGCAGTGGTCTGATCTACCTCCCAGGTATGGTAATGTGTTCGTGTGTGTGTTATCTGCAGGAGCCGTGGATGCTGTGTGCGAGACGTCCCAGCGTATCCAGGACAATACTCGGTGCCATGAGAACCACCTGCAGCTGTGCCGGGTGCAGAAACTGCTGAAGGGGCGAAAGACGAAGGTGTTTGCTGCAGGTTAGAGCTTCTGATCACTTATTCCTTTCATCTCCTCCTCCCCTTGCATGTGTGTCCTCTGGGAGAGCCAGGGGAGGAGGGCGAGGAAGAGGAGGGGAGATAAATGAGTTAACTCTGGAGACATTCTCGCCTGGATTGATTGAATCGATGGATTCTTCGGAGCAGTAAGTGTTTTCATCGTTTCCTTTATTAGCGGCTAACGGTTAGCGTGTGGATGTTCTCTCCTCCTTCATGCTCCCTTCGTTTATTCCTCCTCTTCATCACGCCTCCCTCTCTACAGGTGAAGCGGGGACTCTTTTCTTTGCGTCTCACCCTTCTGTTGTTTGTCTGGCCTCCTCGTTGCTCCTCTCACCCTGCCAATCTCCCCCAGGACCAATTAGAGCCGGGCCTCGTCTCTCCGACCAGCACATAAAAAGGCGGCAGTGGGTGTTTGTTTGCTTGGATATGCAGGGTGTTTTTATGTGTGTGTGTCTGCGGATGTGTCGGTGCGGCGCTGAATAGCGGTTCATCGCTCTAATGCCGATGTGGGAAGTTTCAAAAGCTTCCTCTCATCGAGTTCTCAGGCCCTCGCAGCTCCGCCGGCTTCCTCTGCAGCCAATAAACCGGCGGTCCCACCAGGCACACTTCAGAGCACCAAACCTCCCGCCGACCCGCTCCTTCCTCCCCCTCTCCAACACCTCCTCTAATGTGGCTGAAAGAAAGCTCTGCCTTTTCCACATGAGACGCATCGCGGCCCCTCCGACATATTAAGTAGCTCTGTAGGAGACGAGGAGGGGGCGACGGTGAGACACAAAGACTGAATCAATGAGATTCAATACGCAGACAGTCGGAGCGATTCAATTTATTAACAAGACTTCTCTCACAGTTCTCTCTAAATTCATCTGCTGTGAGACATGACTTCATGATTTCTTCAGTCAGGTAACTGGAGGTCAGTGGGACGTCCTCAAGGTCAGTCAGTCAGACATCCTCAAGGGCGGTCGGACGTCCTAGAGGTCAGTGTGACGTCCTCAAGGTCGGTCAGACGTCCTCGGGGTCGGTCAAAAGCGCTGACTGTACGATGAGAATAGAAGCGCTGCACATCTGTCCGGTTTCTGTGACAACCGTCTGTTGACAACGGCCGCTGTATGACTGACACTGCCTCATGACTTTTTACTGCATGTTTTATATTTGAGATCGTTTTTACTCCAGCAGACACGGAGCGAGGAGGATGTGGGTACAAGTCACGATCGAGATGGGGCAAAACTACGGTAGAATATCGTAAATCTTAAATATTTAAATAAATATATATAAGAGCGGCGGTGATGTCTACAGCGTCTTTCTGAAAAGGTGAACGATTTTAAAGTCAAAGTGCTCAAAGCTGGCGCACACAAAAGGTGGAGCACTTGGAAAAAAAAGACGCTGGTCGCTGCGCTTTTTGTCCGGTCTGCAAACGCTCTCTCCTCATTGAAAAACAACTGAACACAGACGCCACGTGGACACGGGGGCCTAACTTGTTAAATCTGTGTTTCCTGTGAACACTCTGAGCTCCCATCAACAAATAAACCTGTTGGCTCTCCAAACGCTCTTCTTCCTCCGGTCTCTGTGACTGTTGTTCCTCGGACACATCGGGGGGGGGTCAGGACTCTTTGTAGCTTTCTCACCTCCCTCGCTCGCCCACCCACCCCCCACCCCTCCCTGTGCAGGTAACTGACTTTGTAGTGGAGCAGAGGTTCTCTTTGACAAGAGGAGCTGAAAGGGCCCAACACGCAGAGGAGAGCTCGCAACTTCCTGCTCTTTGAACCTCAAAGCTCTGTGGACAGTCAGATGTTTGCGGGCGGGGGTGGGGGGGGGGGGGCCTGAGAGGAGCTGGAGACTATCCTCTCTGACTCTATGATGGGCCGTGTGGTGGTCTGATTTAACTGTAAAGTTAAGAACACATCTTAAAGTACAGAGTGGAACAGGAAACAGACCTGCACGTGTCTGCGGCGTCTCCACACCTGATGTTTACTGACGTGCATCAGTCTCACCACGCTGGACTCTGGCAGCTTCCTGTGACGCTTCGACAAATAGGAAACACTCGGCTGATCATGCATGAAGTCAAAGTTAGAACTCCTTCTGACGCTGTGGTGTTTCTTTAAGTCTTTTTTACCCCACGTGGTGGGAGGAGAAAACATGTCGGGTTTTATTCTGGGGGCCGAACCAAACACAGGATTGATGTTTGTGTTGTACATAACATAAAGCTGCAGTGATGTCTGAGCAGGCTAACATCGAGACGAAGGGCGAGTCGTCACAGCTCTACATTCAACCTTCTAGCAACCAAAGCTAACTCAGACCGAGCTGGTCTGTTACAAACTGACAAATGAAAACCAGAACATCTTACGGTTTCTACCTCTGCTTCTAACGATCTCACTGAGCTGAACACAAACACACGACAGCTCAGATTCTCCTTCACTTAAAAACAGGAGTGTTCATCATGCTGCCAGCTGAAACGACCAAACATGCAGCGGGTAGAAGCATGGAGCACACGTCAGGTTAAAGGTCAAACAGAGACGCGATGTCTTCTAATGCAACGTGCACGTTTGTTAACTGTCCCTGTACTCGTGTGGTGGCAGATACTGATACAGGAGAGGAGGAATAAAACATGTCGGTACCTGAGCTGCAGAATCGAGAAACATCTGATCTTAAATTCTGATATTTGTCTTCATGAAGCTTTTTTTTCTGCAGCTCTGAGGCTGGAAGTGTAGATCTCCCAGCTGCCTGTTTCCTGTAACAGTATTATAAACCTGCTGCTGTCTGTTGGTGTGTGAAGGCTCGCTTTAGTTCAGAACCATCAGAACAATCTCCTCCCCACACCTGACAGAGGCTCGGGGTGTCTCTTCACTGTTTTTCCCTTTAACACCCATGGCATTTTAAAAGCAATTTGACCCCCACCTGGCCCCGTCACTTAATCTCAGCGGGCTGGTCGATGGCTGAGAACGTCCGCGGTGAGCCCCAGAGGCACGGCTCCGGACACTCGGGCTGCTGCAATCACAGACGAGCGGCCGGGCCAATTACAAAGCGCCATGCACCCGGGCTGAATTCTCATCTTATCTATCCAAATGTCAGCCTCCTGCTTATTAGCTATCATCACGCTGCTGCCAATCATGGACGCTGAGATGAGAGGCTTCCTGTGGGAACAGACACACCCCGTGACACGTCTGCCTCCCACAGAGTCCGTCTTCACCTCCTCTCCTCCTTTCCCTTTTCTCTGCTGCTTCTTTAAGATCATTATTTCTGTCCTCTGCAGCTCAGGAGGCCAGGATTATAACTGAAGTGGGTTGGACTTTCTCTGGTCATCAGTCTGTGTGTGATTCAGTTAAACTATCAAAGACCAGGCAAACATCAGCTGATGATGATGATGATGATGTTTGTGTTTCCTGTGACAGGGCGCTGGTACATCCGTGAGGGCTGGCTGAAGATGGTTCCTCAGAAGGGAGCAGAAGCTAAACCAAAGATGTTCTTCCTGTTCTCCGACATTCTGCTGCAGGCCAAACGCTGCAGCCCGCTGCATCCCACCAACGGGGACAAGTTTGCCGGCCAGCACGCCTACCCTCTGCACGAGTGCAGCGTGGAGAAGGTGTTCGGGCACACCAGGAGCCAGGGAGGCCTGCTCAGTGTAAGTGAAGGAGAGCCCGGCTCAGAGAAACAAACCTGAGACGTGACAGCCACGTTTGATTAAGAGGCCCGATAAAACGAAATACACGACGAAGCTTAACCGTCAAATTGGAATTCCTACTAATTCAACAAGCCCTGTCTCTGTGTGTGTGTGTGTAAGTATTGTGAATTTAAAAAAAACACTTTCCTGCAGATAAACTATTCACAGTTGGACAGAAGTAAAACTGTGTGTCAGGGAGTGTGTGTGTGCGTCGTGCGTGCGTGTGTGTGTTGGACAGCAGGTGGAGGAGACATCTGTTCTCCAGTCCACACATGAGTGACTATTTATCTGAAGCTTTCTTTCATTTCTTCTTCTGGTGTTTGTTGATTTGTTAAACTCCTGGTTCTGCTCGCTCTCCGTCGTAAAACACGACTTACAGACGCTTCCTGAAGCTCTTCCTGAAGCTGGTTGACAATGTTCCTCCTGACCCCTGAACTTTGCCCCCCCCTCCCCCCGCTCCTCCTGGTCCTCTCTTCGATCACTTCACGGCCTCGCTGATTGAGTCTGAAAGTGAAACTTCAAAAGCGTCTGATCGTCTGTCCTCTGATGGTGTGCAGGCCTCGGTACAGCTGCTGGCTGACAATCTGAGTCTGAATGATGAAGCTGCTGTCATCAAGCATTCAAAGCAGCACGTCACGCGTCATCCACTGAGGAAGGAAAGTGTCTCTGCACAGAGTTTAGAGCTGATGCAGCGTGGTGTCAGTATTCAATCATCAATATTCAAACGTCTGTTTCTGTTTGTATTTATGGTCGGTACTGAAGATGATTTAAGATAAAAGTGTAATTCATCTTGAAGGAGATTCTTGTTCCAGGTCGCTCCAGCATGACAGTTCAGAGAGAGTAGCACAAACGAGCATTAGGTATATAAAAATATAAAAAACATGAGGTGTAATAAAAGAATGAAGGAAGATAGAGGAGTCATAGAAACAGAGGGATGAGTGACTTTCTTTAGGGGGGCAGGAGCTCAGTCTGTCAGGACTTAGGGTTGGAAACAGGTCGCCAGTTAAAGTCCCAGTGTGGACCATAATATGGAAGTGGGTCTGGTAGCTGGAGAGGTGCCACTTCACTTCCCGAGTACTACCAATGTGCTCTTGAGCAAGGCACTGAACCCCCAACAGCTCCGGTGCACTCCCTGTGTAGCAGCCCCCTCACTCTGACATCTCTCCACTAATCCATCCACAGGTCCTGTTTGTGTGTGTGTGTGTGTGATTCAGATCTGTGTGAGGAGCATGTCTCTCAGTAACAGAGTGTAAACCAGACTTTCCCTCAGGGGTTAATAAATTATATGAAATTGAATGTCTGCAGGTAGAAAAGACCTCGTCCTAGCTCCTCCTCTTCCTGCAGCTTTAATAATCACTTCAACGTTTATTTAAAAGGGTTTTAGATTTTTGTAAAAGCGTCGATCGCTCGTCTTCTCTCTGTGTGATTTGTTGCTTTTCGTTCACTGATTTCCCAAAAGAGAGAGAGAGACAGAGAGAGAGACGAAGAATCGATGAGTATTTATTGAGTGAGTTTCTCAGCACAAACAGCAGACGAGAGGGTGAACTGGTCATCTTTGAGTCTCAGAGTTAGAGACTGAGTGCTTTTACAGTTAAACATTTAACAAGCAAGATGTGTTCGGGTAGGTCGCTGTGTTCAGCCTGGCTGTTGTGTTCAGCCTGGTCGCTGTGTTCAGCCTGGTCGCTGTGTTCAGCCTGGTCGCTGTGTTCAGCCTGGTCGCTGTGTGTTCAGCCTGGTCGCTGTGTGTTCAGCCTGGTCGCTGTGTGTTCAGCCTGGTCGCTGTGTGTTCAGCCTGGTCGCTGTGTGTTCAGCCTGGTCGCTGTGTGTTCAGCCTGGTCGCTGTGTGTTCAGCCTGGTCGCTGTGTGTTCAGCCTGGTCGCTGTGTGCTGCCTGGTCGCTGTGTGTTCAGCCTGGTCGCTGTGTGTTCAGCCTAGTCGCTGTGTGCTGCCTGGTCGCTGTGTGTTCAGCCTGGTCGCTGTGTGCTGCCTGGTCGCTGTGTGTTCAGCCTGGTCGCTGTGTGTTCAGCCTGGTCGCTGTGTGTTCAGCCTGGTCGCTGTGTGTTCAGCCTAGTCGCTGTGTGCTGCCTGGTCGCTGTGTGTTCAGCCTGGTCGCTGTGTTCAGCCTGGTCGCTGTGTGCTGCCTGGTCGCTGTGTGCTGCCTGGTCCCTGTGTGTTCAGCCTGGTCGCTGTGTGTTCAGCCTGGTCGCTGTGTGTTCAGCCTGGTCGCTGTGTGTTCAGCCTGGTCGCTGTGTGTTCAGCCTGGTCGCTGTGTGTTCAGCCTGGTCGCTGTGTGTTCAGCCTGGTCGCTGTGTGTTCAGCCTAGTCGCTGTGTGCTGCCTGGTCCCTGTGTGTTCAGCCTGGTCGCTGTGTTCAGCCTGGTCGCTGTGTGCTGCCTGGTCCCTGTGTGTTCAGCCTGGTCGCTGTGTGCTGCCTGGTCCCTGTGTGTTCAGCCTGGTCGCTGTGTGCTGCCTGGTCCCTGTGTGTTCAGCCTGGTCGCTGTGTTCAGCCTGGTCGCTGTGTGCTGCCTGGTCCCTGTGTGTTCAGCCTAGTCGCTGTGTGCTGCCTGGTCCCTGTGTGTTCAGCCTAGTCGCTGTGTGCTGCCTGGTCCCTGTGTGTTCAGCCTGGTCGCTGTGTTCAGCCTGGTCGCTGTGTTCAGCCTGGTCGCTGTGTGCTGCCTGGTCCCTGTGTGTTCAGCCTGGTCGCTGTGTTCAGCCTGGTCGCTGTGTTCAGCCTGGTCGCTGTGTTCAGCCTGGTCCCTGTGTGAGTTCACGTGTCTCGGGCGTGTGCTGTGAATGAAAAGCGTTCCTCCTTCTCGTTAATGAAACGTCTCCTGATGTGCAGATTGCTCCCCGCTGCATTATGTGTGGAGCGCTGCTGATGGCCGCCTGCTGGAACAGAATCTCTCTCAGCTGCTGGATCAGATTAGGCTGCAGATCCGTCTCCTCCGGCCCCGCACTAAATACATCTTCCTCACGCCTGTCGCCCTCCCCGCAGCCCGCCGCGCGTTATCTAATGGCAGAAATGGCATTTCATTAGCCTCTTATCCCGCCGAGGCCCCGATGCATACTCAATAGCATTACACGTAATTTCTCATAAGGACACATTATTGATCCCGGGCCCCTACCTGAGCGCAGGAAAAGGGCTGTCAGCACTCCAGGGCCCGGCTCATCCCGCCAATGAAGAATTAAAGCCAAATTTAATTTGACAGCTGTAAATGCCAGGCCAATCTATATGCAAAGTCTGGAGCCAAAACGTCTTTTATTAAAATTTCTGCTGTTTGTTTTCTCTTTTTCTCCGTGTTTGGAGAGCGCCTTTTCCTCTTCCTTTTCGCTCTGCAGTCTAACATCCCCTCGCTGCTCCAACACTTCCCTGACACATTCCCTTTGATGTATAAATAATCGAGCTAAATTATGTGCGCCGATGAGGCGCCGTGCTCCGCCGCTCTTATTATACAAAGTAATTTCTACCTAAGAGGGTCAGATTTCCTGACAAATCCCTAATTACCGCGCTGCAACACAAGAGGAATGTATTTGTGCATAAATGAGCCGCTGTCCCCGCAGCGTGCGCCCACCCTGAACTCTGTCATAATGAGATAATCCTTGTGATGAGGCTACCTGTGAAATCTTCATCTATGTCATGTGGAAGGAGAGCTGTTGAAATACAAACATCATGATGAGCTTCATGTCCTTCTGCGTCTGAATCACAGTCGTCACGTTAGCAGAGTTTAAAGCTTTGATTTGATTCTAGTAAAAAAAAAAAAATCAGACGACGTCGATCCTGTTTGATACCACGGCAACACAAAGAAGTCTGAGCCTCCCAGTATGAGCTCATTTATTCTTTTAATTATTCAAAATGACAGACTCCTGCACACGCTGTCTGTGTTGCACTAAAACGTTGATGTGTGCGATGTTTGATGGATTCCTTTCTCTCCCTCACACCCGTTTGATGAAGCAGATGTCCTTTTTTTAAACTCGAGTACTTCTTAAAACACCTGATATTGAAACTATGAAAGTGTAGAATATTTGAACTTCCTCAGTCTGACTGCAGGTGATCAATGTGTGTTTGTGTGCAGCTGCAGGTGAGAGGAGGCCTCAGTCTGTTCCTCTCTTAAAACCCTGTTTGTTGACTTCTTCCTGCCCTGTGTCTGACGTGCACGCCGTGTGTCTGACTCTTTAAACAGATTCACAGGTAGAGGATGCAGCGCTCTTCACACCTGCGAGCAGCTCTGACGGCTCGTTTCTGTTAACTGGACTTAGTTCTGAGTTCTGGGTGTGTTCGCAGTCTGATGACCGTCTGACAGGAGAAGTGTTTTTAATGCACGGCAAGCCGACTGGTCTTTTCTTGATGCAGCCTGCCCTCTGCTGGTGGTACAGTGTTACTGCAGGCTCAGGCCGACAGGACAAAGAGGAGCTGCAGGAAATCTGAACGCTTTTCAATCTTCTTTTCTGTTGTTGCAGACGTCACGTGGAAAATGACTCATTACATCGTTAGTGTTTCTAGAGAATGAACTCTTTGTTGTAAGACGTCGTCCTTCAGATTTTATGATTTAGATTTAAACTGTGATGAGTTTAAGGGAAGAACACGGCAGGTGCACACGTGTTGTTCTGTCTCCTCGTCCTGAGCCTCTCCTCTCCTCTCGTCCTCCAGCTGACCTTCCCCAAAGCCAAACTGCTGCTGATGTCCAACAACCAGGAGGAGCTGAACGACTGGTACCTGAGCCTCACCTCTGCAGTCAGGTGACGGCACGCACACACACATGCACACACTCATACCCTCATACCTTCATACGTCTGCACATCTTTAACCTTAAATTCTTCTTTAATTTCTGCTGCAGTGAATATCAACCAGAGCACAACATTTAGAACAATCCGCTGCAGGAAATAGTCCCTGACTGTCACAGGCTGTTCTTTTTTCTCATCATTAAAGACAATGATAATCTGTATTTTTCTGTGATTGTTTTTCACCATTAGCTGTTTAAAGACACTTTAAAGACATCAAAGATTAATAAATAAAATCTTAAAACAGTAAAAAAAATAAAAATAAATAAATGTCAGTGTTACTACATTTCTTCTCCATCAAATTAAAAGAAAAAGATGTTGTAGTTTTTTTCATAAGAGAAAAAAATTGTTTTTTTAACATCGAGTTGACGAAGAGCAGCAGAAAATGTTCAAAGGAACTGAAACATGGTTCTGGACTTCAGGCCTTCAGTCCGTCTCCACGGTCCAGGTCAGACCTTGCTGAGGGCCTCGACCCCGGTGTGTCCGACACACCGACACCATACCCTCACACGCCAACAGAATTAAATATGTTTATCGGGGGGGGGCCTGCAGACTCTGTGGGGAGTAATTATTGGTGAGGAGGAGCAGGGGTCAGCACACTCACATACACACACTTATATATATACACACACACTCACACTCACACTCACACTCACACATACACACACAGCTGAATTATTGATTGAACTCTCTGCAGACTGATGTTGCTGAGTTTTTATCAAAAATGTATGATTTTCTGTCGTCACATCAAAATTTTATTTATTGATTCTGATGGAAACACAAACACACAGACACTAGAGGTGGGACAGATCTGATCTAAGGTCTGTATCAGGTCAGATATGATGTCATTGACGTATCGGATATCGGGCTGACGGCGCCAATGACAACA